CTTTGTTTTCCTAAATGATTTATCAACATAGAATTGCACCAGGCAAATTTAATTAGCAAAATTATTATATTCTAGAAATTAAAACATGTAAAGTACACCGCACAAATTAATACATATATTTCCTTCATACTATGATATAAAATAAATGGAAAAATTCACTGTTACTGAGAATATATTACCTCAGTATCTAGTAGCCATAGGTGTTGATACATTCCATTTCCTTTTTTTGATGTTTGTGGAGCTGTTTTTTCCACAACTACTACTTTACACGTCCACTCGATTTCTCGTGGAGCAATATCAGGGATTAATTTGTGGTTTGGCGCCATGGTTTCTGGGAAAAAGCATATATATTACAAAATATCAAATAGTTAGAATGCAAAAGAATGATTAGTGAAGAATGAAGAACACATAAGATCTTGAAAAAATAGCATCATGGCAGTAACTATTGCCTTTATTTCTGTGAAAGAAAGAAATGTAATTTTGAAAAGATAAGCGAGAAAATGTTTGACCTATTTTCATGTAAATAGTTCATAAAACAAAGGATGAACTTCTCTAAAGTTTTTAGACATTTCGTATGTAGTATAATGCACATGTTTATATATATGTACATACATACACACATGCATGTGCAGAGAGGTAAGCTGTAAAAGTAGGTGAATGGACAAAAAGTGTTGTGGTTGGTATGGGATTCAGGTTGACTAAAAAGGCCATACTAATTAACTTGATAGGAAACAAAAGACAATAATCATTAATGTTTTCACTTGTACAATAGATAAAAGAAATAAAGAATAATAATTATTAATGTTTATTTTTATAATACATAAAGCAACCCTTTTTCATGTAAATAATTCGTAAAACGAAAGATGGACTTTTCTAAAGTTTTTACACGTTTTATATATAGTATAATGCAGATACACACACACACACACGCATGTGCAGAGGTAAGCTGTAAAAGTACGTGAATGGATAAAGAGTGCTGTGGTTGGTATGGGATTCAGGTTGACTGAAAATGTCATAATGATTAGCTTGATAGGAAAGAAAAGACAATAATCATTAATGTTTTCACCTGTACAATAGATAAAAGAAATAAAGGACAATAATTATTAATGTTTATTTTTATAATACATAAAGCAAACTTTTTTCATGTAAATAATTCATATATATATATGTGTGTGTGTGTGCGTGCGCACAAACATACACACATGCATGTGCAGAGATAAGCTGTAAACGTAGGTGAATGGACAAAGAATGCTTTGGTTGGTATGGGATTCAGGTTGATTAAAAAGGCCATACTGAGTGTGCATAGATTTTGGATTTCCATCATCTGTACGACATACAATCAGCAAAGATACATATCATAAGGATCCAGTAAGGTCAATCATTCTAGTGTTTAAACACATCAAGATCATGCTTGAACATCATGTCCTCTACCATATATAACAACAAATCACACAAAAAAGGATCCTATCATATACATTTACGAACTTTGATTCCTACAAGCAAAAAAATTGTATGATTAATAGTAGAATTAAATTGAAGAATATGTTATCGTAAAAAAGTAATGAACTAAATAGACTTCTTTTTGCATTTAGTTGTAGGGAAAGAATTTAAATGAAATGGGATCTATATCTAAGTATTGGATACGGTTTCCTTCAAGCAAAAATTTTGATCCGCCTATCGATGTTGCTGGAGTCCACTGTTTCCTCAATAACGGTCTTTATCTATGAAAAAAGAACAAATATAAGCTACCGTTCAAGAAGAACTAACTGCAGCTAAAATTTCTTTGTATACAACGTTTTTTGTACAATTCAAATGCATTTTTTTTTCAGCTGGCTTTAAAAGAACTCTTAACACATTTGCTTGTTTTTGCTTTTGATAATGCGATATAAAGTTGGCCATGGGAAAATACAAGCACGGGTAAATATAATCCAACGAAATCAAGAGTCTATCCTTGCGCTTTATTTATAGTCATTGCAAAGCACAGATGAACTAGAAATTGAGTTCTTTTAAATTGAATTGGACTCAAATCATTTTCAAGAGGTACAAATGGTATGCGGGGTAGAAAAACTCTATTTCCTTTATATTCTCCAACAGCAATTGTAGCATCAATTATGTTCGCGTCAAATCTTTTACAAATAAGCCTAGTTCTATTGCACAAGCCTTCAGATGGATTTACGTTTCTCAATAAAATGACCGGAAAATTTAACTTCAAAATTAATTCACGTGGTGGAATACCATTAAGAGTTAATGTATTTAAGAAATCTTCATGAAGATTTTGTGCATCTGCATCTACTTCTTCATTGAAACTACAGTGTTTAATAGAATTACTAGGAAAATTTTCTATTAATATAGCATTTATAAAATCAACGCTCTCATTCTTTGCACTTAATATAACTCTAATAATCATACGTTCAATATCTTTCAGGTAATCTTTTAACTCTAGAAATACAACATCTATCAATTTTTTCACAGAATCGGCTTCATTATCATGAGCAATAACCATTTCGTTTGGAATTTTAATCATATTGTATGAATGTAAAGGCTCAGTTCCATTTCCAATTCGTAATAGATATTCAGAAAAAGGTAAATCCAATTCGGCCCTCATATTTTTAACCAATTTTATTTTCCAGACAATTGGCCATAAATATGAATTAACAAATGCCGCATTAATTATATCTTCTTTTTGACCCTTTGGAACAACAGGTAATACTTGACGAAAGTCATCTCCCAAAACAATTACTTTTCCCCCAAATGGCATTTTGTTTTCTATAACATCTTGTAACATTCTATCCAATGATTCAATAACTAATCTATTTAGCATAGGAGCTTCATCCCATATTATTAATTGTGTCATTCGGAACAATTCAGCCAAAGAAGATTGTTTGCTAACCGAACAAGTTGATTTAGCACTTACTAGAAGAGGGATTTTGAATCTTGAATGTGCAGTTCTACCTCCAGGAAGTAATGTTGCTGCTACTCCCAAAGATGCCTAGCTAAAGCAACCATCCCTTTCGCTTTTACAGCTGCTAGTAAAGAGCGATATAAGAATGTTTTTTCGGTCCCTCCAGGGCCGTCAATAAAATAAACTCCATTATTTTTGTTGAAAACGTCACCTAAAATCATATCAT